TTAGCCTGAATGAGCTATAAAGTTACAGATAAATAGCAAATATTAACCATAAAATTGCCATTCAAAAAATAAACTATGATCTTTAGTGAGTAAATCTGTGGAGATTGGACATAACATTCACTGTTACGTTCAAGCAAGACCTAAAGGGCAATTGCTTCTTCAAAAAAAGCACTGCTTCAACTAGATAGTGTGTGAGCATATACTTCTTAAATATTGGAAAAGTCCAAGTACAAAATTGGATTTGTAATCAGAGACTGCAGAAAATACTGTTCTTCACAAACCTGAAAGGAAGTTACATTTTAAAGATCACAAGTGTTTTACTAAGAACTTTACATGGAAATTCTGTTTAAAGTTCTCAAAAGCAGTGAACGCAAACATTTCTACGGCAATTACAGGAAGGAAAACCAGATCTGTTTATACCAAAACCATCTGTAGTTATATTTTTCAGAATGGCACGTTTGAGAAATGGTAAACATGCTAGTTAGTGCTGCTGAGGAATCAAAATGCATTCTGCTATGACAGCAGCAAATGCTGATTTTGAAAAGCTCCACAGAATGTACAAGACTGAAAATGCAATTGGAGGCATCAGAGTCCAGATGACTCCTGAAATACCCACCTTCGAATGTTAAGCATGTTCACAGGTAGTGACTCTGCTTTAATAATTTCAGGTTAAATTATTGGACATTCACAAGGTTCCTAAGCAGTCCATTCTGAGCGAGGGTAGAGCTATACATAAGATGGTTTTGAAAACACTTCCTCTCTTCTCTGAAGTAGGAATATATGGCAGTACAACTGCTTTCCAGACCTGTGATGCCAGTAGGCTGGGATTTGGAAGGAGGGGGGAAGGAAGAGAGAGGAAGCAGTTAATTTTTCTTTTAACCTTTTAATCTTTCTTTTAACCTGTTCCAAAACCCCAGTGTTAATTTACATTTTATTCATCTTCATTTTAAAATTAAAACTCTTCCAGGAAGATTGAGGAATTTTTTTGTAAACACTTTACATTTTTTCAATTTACCTTTACTGTGCTGATGCACAAGGTACATTGTATGTTACAATGCATATACACCTGTATACATTCAATTACAAGTACTTTGAAAGTAAGGCAAGACCAGCCTGAATGTCTGCCAAGCAAGGAATGTCTTGCAAATACCAAGGTGGAGACATATAGTTCATTTTCCAGTTCAAATTCCAGAACTAACCCACCTTGAAACAGTTTTATTAATTGATTCTTGACAGATATTTTAGGCAACTTTATTTAACTAGAATTATTTTTAGAGCTTTTGAGAAGTATTCTTGAGACTGGGTTAATAGCTTAAACAAAAAATAGAAGGGGAGAGCAGAAAGAAGGAATTTCTCTGAAATAAGCTAAAACCACTGTAAAAAACGATACAAAAGTATGTGAGATTGGGCACTCTGCAGTAGTATAAACAAAGGTGCGGTCTTCCTAGATCTGGTGATAAATGAAAAAATGCTCAAATTCGCTTTTTAATTTTATTTAAAACCCCCAACACACTTATACTGTTTTATCCCTAATTAACTGATAATTAACTAGTTTCATGCACCTAAGAATCAGGTCATCCAAACACTGTCATCCAAAAAAGCCTGGATGCTGAAAAAGAAATTCATACTTAAAGCTAAGGAAATAGCGGTCTTTTAAAATATTCTCAGGCTCACATGTGATGTGAGTGAGAGTCTGTTTTACTTACCATCTGAAATTGGCAGTTCTCTATAAAACATATTTAGAAACCAAGTGACAGAAGAGATTCTGTGTTTTTTAGGGACTGAAGTATTAGTTGCATTTTTGAAAACAATTATGTTAGTTTAACCAGTTTGCCAATAATTAATTGTTTTATGTAGTGGAAATGTCATAAAGTCATTGCTAGAACAAAACCTTACCCAGGAAATACCACTAGAAATAGCAAAAATTCAGAATGTGCTCTAAAACTGGTACCTAAATAGATCAAAATTGCCTTTGGCAGCAATTACATCAGAACAACATTCCAGCTTCAGCCTAAGATATTTGATTGATTTTGATGATGCTCTAAGATGTTAGATCCTGTGGTTGGGTTATAATTGCTACGTAAATGTAAAGGTTTTAAAGATGATTTATCCAGTATAATTGGAATGTTATTTGAATAATTTTTGTGTTGCTTTTCTGCCTTTAGCAATGAAATGCACAGTTTTAGAAGATATGAACTGCTTTTTATAATGAAACCAATATATTTTACATTGCTGCACTGCACACTCTCTGAATCTCAGAGTATTCCTAAGAAATTAACCCCATGATACACGATCAGAATTACAGTGCCTTCTTACATGTTTGGTTTTTTTTTTTCTATTATTTGGTAGTGTTGGTGTTGCTTAGTAACATAAGGAACATCAGCAGATAGGATACTTATTAAGCAGAAATGAAATTCAGAAAGAAATTCATGCTGCAGTAAGGACTAATTAAAGAAATAACACCTTGGGCTTTTGTTTGGTTTACTTTTTTAAAACCTTAGACTAGACTGAAGACGCTAATATGCTGGCTGAAAAATCATATTAATATTGCAGAAGTGTTCTAAAGACCCTTAACCACCGCACTCTATTGTAAAAAAAATCCCAACTTCTAAGCAGCTTATGATTTATCTTGCTTCAGGTAAAGTACATCATAGAGTAAACCTAACTATATTATTGTTACTAATTTATAATATTATTAATTCCTAATAATACTTTGCCTGTAATGCTTTCACTGGAGAATTCCACAGCACTTTGTGTTAATGAACTGTTTGCACCCCATTAAGGCACCATTCTCACTTTACAGGAAATTGCAACTGACCAACCTATAGATCTAGTTCAAGAGTGCAAATGCTTCAGAAAGGCAGGGTTAACGTGATATGATCAAGGTCATATAGCAGCTTTATAGTCCAACCAAAAATAAAACCCACTAGGGCTTCCAATTCCAACTTTGTGCCATTTTATGGAAGCCACTCCCATTTCTTGTGGTAACTTTTATTTGGGCTACACACTGAACTGAAAAGCAAAGAAACACCTCAATGCTTCAGAGTATTTTGTGGAATCGGGCAATTTCTTCCCTGTGCCTCCCCTCCAATTGAAACAAAGTATAAACTCAGTATTTTGTTGTTTCAAGGTATATAAGGTGAACTGTTTCAGGAATTTTAAAAAAGAAAATTATACCATAATGACAGTTATGCCAGTGTAAAGTACATACAGACTGTCATTACATAGTAAATAATTCTAAATAACAACAACATTACAATTTGAAAAGTTTTCAAATATCTGCAATTAGGTTGGGGTTTTTTTCCTTTGGTAAAAGTAGAGCTTGTTACATAGCATAATAAATGCAAATCTGCTC